TACCGAGTAAAACGGATGTGCTGTTCAGAGGGTTTGTAGCAGAGGTGCTTGGTGGGGGATGGGGGGCCCTACTCCTACTCCTACTCCTCCTACTACTACTACTACTACTACTACTACTACTTGTAGTAATCGTATCAGCAGTAGTCGTCGTTGTAGTAGTAGTAGTAGTAGTAATAGTAGTAGTAGTAGTAGTAGTAGTAGTAGTAGTACCTGCGACCGCGTTTGTTTGAAGTATGCTAAAAATTGCTAGAGCAGAAGCAAGTGGGCACAGCTGCCGCCGCAGCAGTATATTGAGTGGCATTACCATGGCAAACCATACTTGTGTCATGTCCGAACACTTGCGCAATTTGTTCTGCGGTTTTGGACTGAAGCACCGGCTAGTCGACAGCAAATTCCATGGTATCGGGCCGACAACATGTTTTGAATGTGCGGTCTGAGGTCCGTTCCGCATGTAAACACAGCCACAATTCAGCAGGTTGTGGCCTCATCGGGTATGCCGACGTCATACTATCGTAAGTGCTCGTAACCAATAGGCGAACATCGACGGATGCCGACGCAGCCCATAGAACATGCTCCGAAGCTTCATGGGCAACACGAGACGAAACTGACGTGAGGTGCTGTCTCGTGAAGCCAGGACACCACTTTCGTCCATCACAGCTGGAGTTGCCGGGGGCTGTCCCTCACGGTATCCGTCCTGAGGAAAGATGGGGAGGGAGGGAGGGATGGGGAGGGAGGGCGGGAGGAAGGTAGGGGGAGGGAGGGATGGATATACCTTTAAACTTGTTATTTTGATGAATATTAGTATTACTACTACTATCATTATTATTATCATCATTATCATCATCATTATTACTACCATTGTTATTATGATTATCGATATTGCTATTATCAATATGTGTATGTATGTATGTGTATATATATATATATCCGGTTCTGCATATGTATGTATGTAGATAGCTCTCTGTCCATATGAATACAAAGTATATGTACATATATATATATATATGTGTGAACATAGGCCCACATATACAGACGTCTTCGCATATAGATAGGGAAGTACATAGATAGATGGTACATGCATATGTATATTATACGATGTGTATATATACACACACATAATATGCGTCTGTGTGTGTACGTGCGTACGTACGTATGTATGCATGTACGTGTGTGTATAAGTATGATGTATAAACCTGATCAACCGACAGGACCGCCTCGGATTAGACGGGATCGTCCCAGGAGTCCACAGAACAGACGGGAATCCCGTGGTGGACCCATGTGGACAGTGGAGGGCTCATTTTGGCTTCGAGCAACTTCGTGCTCAGAGTTTGTACTCATCTGTGACGCTGCGGCCGGTTTTCGAATGCAAGCTCTGCTGCCGGCCAAACGCAGCCCTCCAGAAAGCAAGGGTTTCTGTATCAAAGGCTATCAGATTGGCATCCCCTTTGGCTGGGGAGTCCGTACAGATGAAGAAGGGAAGGGGTGTCTGTACTACTACTGTCCCAAACCCTCACATCAGGTTTTCAATCTTAATCGGGGGGCGGGTTTACGGGGTTACTTATAGACCTTGCCCACCTTGATAGCTGCGGGCGGGGGCTTTTGTTCCAGGTTCCTTGTGCATGTTTGTATGATAGGTATGTATGTATCTTAGAGTTAAAGGCAAAGGTTTTGGGGTCTTAGAGATTTCAGCTTTTCAGCAAACAGAGCAAAATCGCACTCTGACGACGTGGATGCCAGCAGAGGCCAAGTCCTTGCGGCGTCGGCTACGGCGTGGTCGGGAAAGCTCCGGATCCTCGAAACAGGTGCATGCGAAGTTGTTTGGGCAGCTGTGGAGTTTGTCGTCTGAGGTCTGAGCTTCTGGCAGCCGCTTACAGCACGACACAGCATAGTCTGTTGGAGCCCCATGAGAAGTTTTTACGCTGGAGGCAAATCCTCTCAGCTCGATATGCTTCCGGCTGACACTGGAACAAGAAGCAGGAGAAGCATGGACAGAGGAACCAGAGGAAGGAGAAGCAACAGGACCAGAGGAGCCAAAGGAGGAAGAAGAAGAAGAAGGAAGGCCAAAGAGGAAAGAGACACAGGAAGAGTACGACGAGGAAAGGAAAAGACTCTTGGCAAAGGCAAGGGCAGACATTGCCCAGAAGGAAGCAAAGAGAAAGGAACAGGAAAAAGGTTTCAAGCCACCTGTGGACAAGAGCAACAATTCTGGAGATGGAGCGTTGCTTCTGCTGGCTTGCTAAGTTTGCATGACGGGTCTTTCCAATAGATTTCGGTCCATGTGTCGCCGGTGAGCTTGCCATCTGAAAGTGCGTGTAGGCACACCTGTGCCGCCCGAAGTAGATATGCACGTCCAGGCATCCAATCAAATGACCTGGCCCAACTACACCGTTCTCCGATCCTTACACACTCGATCATAGGACGAGCTTCGGCAACAACCAATCCGGAGCACTTCGGCGGCGGGGCCATGAATCGGTGGCCCTGTGGGCAGAAGTACCTTGAAGCGGAAATGCGAACGCAGAGCTGGAAATGCAAGGGCAGCTGTTGGGCCAGCGGCTGTTGCTAGGGCCATGCACCTGCCTCTACTGACTTAGCTAGGGGAAAGTAATGCGCTCGACGGACGACAAGCTGCCGTGTACATCCACAACCCACCAGATTTCTTCTTGAGTGATTCGGCACGCCAGGAATGAAGCGCTGTTACCCGAGCCTGAAGCTGGCAAACCTTGATCTCAGTCAGGTCCCGGCGGCTCGAAGCCAACGCAGACTGCGCGACGTGGTGCAGGAGGTGCTACCACCGGTATGCGCCAGCAGCTGAGTTGAGTCAACCTTGCGGAAGTTACATCCGCATGGAAGTGGAGGATTCGCAGCCACTATTTGCTGTTGTTTTCACCAACAGCGTATCACACCGTGGGGTTCTTGAATAGAGGGGGATTAGATCGCTACTCCTGCGAGGCGCGCGCATGCGCGGATGCGTGTGCGGCGGTTCCGCGGCTGCCGCGGTGTGGTGCGGTCCACATTTTGGACATAATCTTTCTTCAGTTCCGTAGCGGGACTCACTGGAGATTCAAATACTTTGACATTTCAGCAACCTGATGAACCGCTTTTACCGAAGTTCGCCCTTGTGCTGCCGTCAAAATGCTTTTTGGAGTGCGTCTGTCACCAGAAATCATGCCCACGCCATAGAGCAATCAATATACAGTTTGGCTGCGGCAGTAATAGTAGTAATAGTAGTAGTAGTAGTAGAAGAAGAAGAAGCAATAATATTAGTCGTAGTAGCAGTAGTAGTAGTAGTAGTAGTAGTAGTAGTAGTACTAGTACTAGTAGTAGTAGTAATAGTAGTAGTAGTAGTAGTAGTAGTGGTAGTAGTAGTAGTAGTAGCAGCAGCAGTAGTAGTAGCAGCAGTAGCAGCAGTAGAAGTAGTAGAAGTAGTAGTAGTAGTAGTAGTTGTAGCAGTAGTAGTTGCAGTAGTAGTAGTAGTAGTAGTAGTAGTAGTAGTAGTGGTAGTAGTAGTTCTTGTTGTTGTACTTGTTGTAGTGGTATTAGTACTGGTAGTAACAGCAGCAGCAGGAATAGTAGTAGTAGTAGTAGTAGTAGTAGTAGTAGTGGTAATAGAAGTAGTAATAGTAGTACTAGTAGTACTAGTACTAGTAATCGTCGTCGTAGTAGTAGCAGTAGTAATCGTCGTCGTAGTAGTAGCAGTAGTAATCGTCGTCGTAGTAGTAGCAGTAGCAGAATACCTGAAGTCCCTTAGGCCCGCCTCTTTGGCGGCTTTGGCAGCAGCGCGATCAGCCTGCACAGAATCATCTGCCACAAGGTTCGCACGTCTTCGGTTCTCAGCGATCACGTTGGGACACCTGTGTGGACATCTTTGCGGTTGCAACATTCGAGCTCGGCAGGTTCAGGTAGCCACGAAGATCAATGATGTTAGTGTTGTTGGTGGCAACTCCGGCCGAAGGAATCCACTGGTTCTTGCACAATGAAAAAGCAGTGGCACATCACTTGTAGCGTTCTGGAGCTGTCAGAAGGCTTTGCAAACTGCACGAATCGCTGGGCACCCGTCCAAAATCCGCACATCATCGGTGGCCACGCACACAATGTCGCAACAAGAAACAACAATCGTCTGTACTGAGGCTACCTGTGGAGTCCTGTATTACAAATTTCTGGGAGTGCGCACCTGCTGCTTCTTGGCAGCCTCCACGCTGGCCTGGCTCTAGAAAGCACGGAGTCCTACCCTTTTAACTGTTCAGTCCCCCGGCAGCAAGGAAGCAACATTCAAGAGTCAACTTATATCGAGGTGCTTCGTTCACAATTAGTAGAGTTGATATTGAAAAGCACTCGATGCACCGCCTGTGCGTCGTAAAGTCGTTCTACGTCTAAACTGATGTTCATAATGTCGAATTTCTTTCCCACATAATGTCAAAGCAGGAAGCTGCCTCCGCAGCCCTCCAATCGGAACTCGGTAGACTGGGATCAACATGCATGCCTTCACGCGCTGGTCGCGTGTCTCGGCCTCCTTTTTCTTCATCTCCTCGCAGTGTGGCGACCAAACACAAGTCGGAACAGTTCGGAAGGACTTGTGCAACCGGACTTGCACTAAAGCCCCCAGACAACAGTGGCTTGCATTGCAGCCAGACCATTGTAGACCCTGTATGGGCCAAATGTGCATCGCACCCGTCATGTACAGGGTTTGGCATTGGACTTGAGGTGTCGTCGCAGAAGCCCAAGCACAAACAAAATATGCACATACTGTATCTGCAGATGCAGCACAGAACGAACAGAAACACGGGAATTAATAGTGGCAACTGCAGGCAAGAAACTGCAAGAAAGAGTAGCATTGGAACAGCGACAGCAGCAAGACGAAGAAGTGCTGGTAATGAAGGTAACTGTTTCAGTACCAATCAACCCGGTGTTTGCCTTACCCTGCTGGCCTCGTCAGCCTTCTCAGCCTGCCTTCGCCTGCAGCTCGACAGAGCGGATTCTGCACTTTGAGTTTGGTGCAAATGTCTAGAGTCCCACTCTAGCCCATCTTCGGTGTCAAAGCAAATGAACATGTAATCTTGCAGTGGGCCCGGTGTTAGTCGCAGCGTGTACTGTAGAACTGTAGCCTGTCTCCACTGTCTGTGTGCCGGAAACACCGAAACCCCTGAACCATTGGACCACAACTTAACACAAACAAAACACGACCTCCCACACGAACTCTGAAAAACCCTGATGGAAGAACTAGCAAGAATAAGTATCAGTCGGAAGACAGGAAGGTCGAAGGGGCCGAATATAGTACCAATCCACAGTAGCACTTGCACCATGACACGCGCAACCCTCCAGCCGTGAGCTCTCCCGTGCTTCCACCTACTTAGCATTTTCGATTCCGACTTCACATGCTGAGACTTTCGCGACTCGAGCGACAGGAGATGCTCCACACGCATAAACCAACCAAACACACACACACACACACATACACCACCCTCACACCAAGGCATTGTTGCATTGATACGTCGTTTCTGAAGAACCGTAACCTTCCTGCGTTTTGTTGCTAGACTACTTTGTAGGTGTAAAGAGTCGCAGGTGCACCATGCATGCCAGCAGGGCGCTCGTCGTCAATGAGCTCCTCACTTGCACATCTATGCATGATTCTCCGTCCTTCGAGTCTAAATACTTAACGCCAAGGCTATCTGGCCTTCGTATCTGGAAGGTTACGTTGAGTTTTCTAAAACTTATGCAGCTGACGCAAGTCGCAAAGGTCATCTTTGCCTCTCGGCAGCCTCCCGCTGCACTCTTTCCCTCTCTTTCGCCTTTCCGGCTTCGCATGTGCACGTTTGGGGCAGTCGGGTTTTGCGATAACCGGGATGAACAGAAGGTCATGACAACTAACTACGAGCTTAAGGATGTGACTGCTGACAGCAGTGCTGCTGCGGGCGGTGGTGACGAGACAAGCGGCAAGTGTAAAACACGAAAGCAGGAGCTCCGTGGTTCATGTTTCCGGTGGTGGTGCTGATGGCGACAACGGGAATGAGGATGATGATGGTTCTGGCTTGTTGCTCATGCTTGCAAGCACAAAGAACTACCAATAATGATACGAGGATGGAAGGACCTACCATGCACAATTTACAACTGCAGGTTTGGCGCTCGAGTGCGTCCTGTTGCTGCGTACTACGAGTACATCGGAAGAGCAGCCGACCCAGCAAGCAACCCCTGTAAATGCAAGACGGAGGTCACCCTGCTCATCACACAGCACAAGGACAAGAACCTGGAGGGAACCGAACTTACCGACAAAGCAGCACATTCTCTGCTTCCGGGCTGCTCACATACCCCGAGCAGGCAAGGCTTCTTCAATCTGTTACACGTCAATTCCCGAATTACCTACGAAGAGCAACGGACCAATCAAGGTCGTGTTGCGTGCAACCCTGGCGCCTGCAACTCCTCAAGCTTCCGCCTGTTCTCCTCCTCCACCTTGCGAACAATTTAGGTCAGAGTCGCATGATGGCTGAGCATGATGATGATGATAACTGGTGACGACGATGGTGATGGGTGGTGAGTGTAATTACACCGGGTCGCGTTGATCATCAGCAGCACTCAGTAGTAGCATTCTGCCTATGCTTGTTTTCATCTTTGGTAAACTATTTAGTAAACAATCTGAAAGTAGTATTGCTAGCAGCGTCTATTGTTCTACTAGCGTCCTGTTTCCGGAAGATATGTGAAGAGCACTAACTATAAAAGCTGGCGATGTCGAAAAGGCTGCTGGCCAATGATGCTCGCTATTGTGGCGACGACGGCCGCGACTGCAAGCTCTCATAGGAAACCTCGAACCCCTCATCTCATCAACAAGAAGCGCCTTCTAAGATGAAATCCATCACAGTCACTCCTACTTGTATGGTCCTGTACCTGCGGATTTCAGAAAGGATGAGGTCATTGCACGCGCATCAGGAACTTCCGTGGCCTTTTTCTGCTCTTCCCGCTTCTGCCGCTCGGCCTCCTGACGCTCCAGCCTGGGTCCAAGTAATCAAAGCAAGCATAAGAAGAGACGAGGAAGCACACATACACACTGGACTGCTGGCATGCTGAAAAGGGCCATGCATGCCCAGCCTAGTACAAGTCTTTCCGCTACGGAAGTTTATCCGGGAGTAAATGTACCTGGTCCAACAAGGTCTGAGTCTGCCCCACTTCATAGAAATTCATAAGACTCATATGGCTTGGGATTGAGAAGCCGCGGTGACTAAGCTCTCAAGAAGCACCGCAAGCTGGCTTGGGTTGAGGTGCTTGGGGCTTGCCCCGGCCAATCCTTAGTTGAAGCCTTCAGACTAATCCGAAGTCAACGCTGTCGCTTTGTCGCCGAGAAACTCCTTCTCATGCTCTTGCTTTTCCAGTTCCTGTCCCCGTCGCGGTCGCTCGTTTTCGGGTCTGGGGCATGTTGTAAAGATGTGTCGAAAACTTCCACACTGAGGCTTTTATCGTGCCAGAAGATTCCCCTGATGGGTAGCCCGGGTAAACCTTGCATGACATCACACATTGCCATCCCAACTCCACTATGGATGCATGACCCATCGGGAAATACTTGAGAACGCTACAGAGATGCTCTTTTGAATCAGTGACCTTAGAGCTTCTTGCATACTTAGTTGCTATGCGATGGTGAACGATTTGTTTGCTGCTTTCTGGTATGAGCCTGATGGTCTGGACCTCCTACTGGCAGACTTGGCCCGGACTAGCTTCAAGGAGCACACCCTGCCCTACGAAACTTGAGTCAGATACCAGTACAGAGCCAATGGCCGGAACGCCAATCCCTGGCCTTCTTCGCAGCCTGCTCGGCTTCTTCGCGCTGGCGCTGCGCTTTCTCCACGAGCTCGTCTTTCTTGCCCATCTTGTGGAGACGGGAAGTCCGGGGTGGGAGCTCTTGGCAGCTTGGGGTCTTGGAGTTGGGCATCGAGCGCAATGTTTTCCGGAAGGGGAGCTCTTTGTTACAAAGGTTGGCAAACCACCGCGCAAGAACAGCTCCGCATAGTTTAACGAGAAGTTTTCGGGAAGCGCGAATCCAGCATCAACGCATGATCAACTGTAACAATGACTACACAGTCTTGAGAAGCTCCATATAAGCAACACATGGTCAACAAGACAAACACCACAACGGAGTACTGCGCACTTTCGGCTCAGATTCCACTTTCCTCGTAGTGCCTTTACTGCCGACACGGCTCACTCGCCTGAACGCCTGGCTCAAAATCATGTTGATGAGGCACCATGAAGGCTCACGATCATGCTGAGTGATGACAGCAGCCCCAAATGTGCGGAACAGCTCCGCGCGGCGAAACTCCGGACATTCCTGCTTACGTCTGAACGTCGTCGTACAAAGCATCCCATCATCTCAGAAGGCTGGACACAGTCCGAGCTAAGTTTCTGGCAGAGGGAGCCTCCTGTGCTCGCTTCAGGGCCTTAAGCAAAGCGGCATGAAGTATCGGAGTGCGTCTGTGGCTGTCGTACTTTTGAACCAAGCTCCTCAACTTCCCGGTCTGAAAGTAATATCCAAGTATAAGTAAGAACGTGGGGGTGTTAGGCCCACGTGTGTTCAGGTCTTGGGCTCTGGCGTTTAACGTTTCTCTACGAATTCAAGTGATGCCAAAACTGCGGATTGTGGTGGATTCAGGCTCTCGCCCCGTCTCCTGTCTTGGAGCACCGAAGTATGATTCTTCTATGGGATTATGGCCGCACCTTGGGAGTCTACAGTTGTGGGGGCACCATGAGGGGAGTGCTAGCATGCTATGACACTGCAAGTGTCGGTAGCCAGCCCAAGCTCTGTTTCCGTGATTTTTGCAGCAGGCTTTTCTCGCCCGGAACTGCCGTCGCCGTGAAGCAGTGCAGCACTCATGACTGCACAACCCCGCAGTGCCCTACTTCTGGTACTGTCAACACTATGAACGTAAACTAAGAAGGTGCAGCCTAACAACAAGCTGAAATCGTCGCCATCACTACCATCTTCATCTCTCAAGAAGATTGCGCAAGGTACAACATGTTGAGTGGTGTAGCAACAGCACCATCCGCAACAATCACAACAGCAACAGCAAGGGCAAGAGTAAGAGCAACAACAACTGCAGCAGTTCTCCATAATATGATTGAGTCTCTCATTAGGTCTCTCGCTGGCATGTCCGCTTTGACAAGGTTCGCCTGGCCCAAGGCTCCGGAAAGCCCCTCTCTGGCTCTGCTCTGTGTTTGCTGTGTCTGTCTGTCTGCTTTCGTGAGTCCCTGCACATAAGAACGCCCCTGCATACAGCACAAGAATTGGACCGCAAGCTGGGCAAACAGGTAGGTTTAAAAGTAGTAATGATGTGAACTCTCTTTTCATGTGGGGCTATGTGTGTAGGAGGTGCAATAGCTTCAGCACAAAACCCTCCGCACACACACACACACACGGGAAACAAAAAACACATCTCGCTCGAAGAAGCCACGATGAAACCAGCGCCGAGGCAAAGGCACCCTGCACCAGAGCTGCAACCTCACTTTGGATTGGTGCGGGTTCGACTCGTTCGCAGTCGAACGCGGGATATGCTTCGAGGGTTTTAGTTGATCTCGTGCAGAAAGGAGCTCTCGGTCCCACACTGCCTCCGTCTTCTGCGACGTCAGCACGGGATGGAGGGTCTCTTCATGAAGCGTTCACATCATGGCATGAGGTCGCAAGGCAACAGTTTTACGCAGCTCATGAGGCATCGGCTGGAGCCATGCCGCTCCCCCGTCCCCAAAGCTTACTGATGTTGCTGTTGGAGTGCTACAGTTGCGTTTGGCATCAGCAAAGCTTCCTTTTGGTGGTGGACTTTGATGTTTTCACTTCTGTCGCCCGCGAAACATCATGATCAGGATCAAGACCATCATCATCACCATCACCATCATCACCATCATCACACCCGACCCCCGACATGATCATCATCGCAAGTACCAACATACATCGAAGCTTAACGATGTCAGCCTTTCCGTTAAAAGAACTTCTTCCGAACATATGCAGCAGGTGCTTTGCTTATTGAAGGTATTGGAGCATGGCTGTCTCACCGATAATAACAGAAACCGACGCCCTGATTCTCTGAGACTCCGACACCGGGACCGCGTTTGAGCTCCTGCAGGGAGGCGGGGGCTCAGGATGAAAAAGCCGAACACGTCTGCAATGATGTACTCCAAATTACACTGGCGGCATTGGCGATCTGATGAAACGAAGCTGGTGCTAGTCTTAGTAGCAGCAGTAGCAGTAGCAGTTATTGCTGTTGTGTTTGCTGCGGCTGTCGATGTTGTTGCTGTTGCTGTTGCTGTTGCTGCTGTTGCTGTTGCTGCTGTTGCTGTTGCTGCTGCTGCTGCTCCTGTTGTTTTTGTTGCTGTTGCTGTTGCTGTTGCTGTTGCTGTTGTTGTTGTTGTTGTTGTTGTTGCTGCTGTTGTTGTTGTTCGGGAGAAGGAGTAGTAGTAGTAGTAGTAGTAGTAGTAGTAGTAGTAGTAGTATAGTAGTATAGTAGTATAGTAGTATAGTAGTAAAGTAGTATAGTAATATAGTAGTATAGTAGTATAGTAGTATAGAAGAGTAGTAGAGTAGTAGTAGGAGTAGTAGTAGTAGTAGTAGTAGTCGTAGTAGTAGCAGTAGTAATTAGTAGTAGTAGTAATAATAATAATTGTACAAGTAGTACTGGTCGTAGTCGTCGTCGTCGCATTAGTAGAAGAACTTGTGTCACCCGCTTCTACTAACAGTAGAGGTAGAAGTCGTCCTCGTCGTGGTCGTGGTGTCGTCGTAGCAGTGGCAGTAGCAGGAACAGCAGCAGCAGCAGGAGTAGTAGTAGTTGTTGTTGTAGCCGGGGCACTAGCACTAGCAGCAGCAGCAGCAGCAGCAGCAGCAGCAGCAGCAGCAACAGTAGCTTACGCCAGCCGCGACGAGGCGGTCGCAACTGAGATCCCGAAAACTTTAGCCATCACTCCACCGCCCAAGGATACTCGTGCCGAGTCCTTGTTTCGCTTCTCTCTAGCGGCCTTAAGCTCCTCCTTCCGCCTCGAATGCACTCGGGACAAGTGTTTCCGATTCGCTTTGGGGCTCTTGTTTTGAATCTCATGCTTGGACTCTCGCGGCCTGGCATTAAATTAATGCTTACGTCGGGTTTCGGTTGACCGGTCAGGGCCATGGGATTCTACTTGTGACCTCCGGAAACAGGAACAGGGAAACGTCCCAAACTGAAATCTGCAGAATCTGGCGAGGGTCTGTACAACCATCGTTGAACCTGGCCAGACTTTCTTGCCGTGGGAATGCAATGTTGGAATAAAAACGAAAGTCGGCTGCGGTACTTCAGTTCATACCAGGCCAGGTGCAATCCTGAGGCTTTGGTTCACATCTCCTTTCATACAACATGGAGAGCTCACAAGCCGGAGAACTGGAGGACATGAGTTGTGCTCATTGGCCGGGACATCATGTTCAACACTCGTGAGTTTGAGCGTGAAAGCCGGGATCGTGGCTTTTTCTCAGCCTCTTCTTCCAAGGCTTTTGTGGCCTGAAGGAAGCAGCGCTGCTTGCCACTCGATGCCGAAGGAGGATGCTTGGGCGAGTCGCGCTGAAGCAAAAACCCACGCCGTCCCTACACCTGGACAGCACCACCCTCGAAGCACAAGGTCACGGTCGCAGGATGTCGGCACGAACATACCGAACACTGACCGCTCACTATGCCTTCGAACAGCAGATGCCCATACCTCCGTGTACCTACACATGAACAGATACAGGCACATCTACGTGCAAGCACAGAAATACAACAGTCCACAATACGGGTGAAGACTCTCAAGCACAAAGATTCATTGAAAGTACTACAAAGCGGCATTTTGCCTGTACGTTCGAGTACATGCATGTCAAATACTATATACATGTGCACTTGAATATGTATGTGTGAATTTCTGAGTGCATGTAACAATGCATAATAGTGCATGCATAGGTACGGTATGTGGCTGCAGTCCCGCTTTAACGTAGCTGCACGTCAACTGCTTCCACCAAAGACTTTCTACATCCACAGCTCAAGCTGTACACATGTGCATCAAGGTCCAGAGACTCTCAAAATCGACAGCCAAAACCCTAAAACCCTTTTTTCCATCCAGCCTGCATAACCCTAAAACCTTTTTTTCACAAGAAACTCGGCTGCTCCTAAAACCCAAAACCCTAACCCCAAACCNNCCCCCCCCCCCCCCCCCCCCGGGGCAGATCGGGCACCGAGGGGCTCCTGAGGACACCTCAGGGCCCCCACCTCCGACTTGATAGGATCTGCCGAAGCAATGCCCTGTCAGACTGAAACATTGAGAGTTCACCCCTTGGTATGACGGTGTGGGTTAAGGGTTTAAGGTCCAGGTGGTGAGGGATTTTAGATTTCAAGGGCCTGTGATTGTGTCTATCAAGCAGTGGGATCTGGCTGCACGCGGAGCTGCAATACAGCGTAAAGCTTGAAGGCTCTGCGTTTCTGGCGTTTCCGCGCCTCGCGGCTTAGGATGGTGGTTTATAAAGGTTAGCTTTGGTTCTAGCGTGCGTTCGCGCGGCCTCAAATTTTCAAGTTTCGCTGGTTTCGAGGTCGCTTGACTCTGCCGGTGGTTGTCGTGCGACGTAAGCGCCAAGATGTTGGCAGTCAGGGGCTTGGCTTTATTGCAGGCATGGGTCTAGGAATTTTGGTAGATACCGGTGTCAATAATCTGATGCTGGACACTGCAGCCTCGCGGCTTTCCGACACCCCAAGACCATGAACCGACAGCATTCCTTTCCTCAAAGTGCCGAGAGGATCCCTAGATCCCATCCCTTTCCCTACTCTGAACAGCCCCTTGCTTACCGGACGCCTCCAAGGCTGCTAGGCTCAAAGCCGTGGCGGAGATTCCGCCTGA